CTCCTGCCAGGTGATAACAGTAAGGAAATGAGATAATGGATTCTTTATGATGCTTCTGCTACCTGGATAAGAAGAAGTCAATGAAAAAAAAAAATCCATCTAACATATACACACTCTGGTTCCTTCCCCAAAATTTGAACCCCTGGAACCTCAGGTTCTAAGGACTGCAGCTGCAAACAGAACCCCAGGACTGAGATTACTTCTCACAGTGTGCTGAGAGCCAGAAGGAATAGCTCTGCCATGAGGGAGGTCACACAGCTGCCTATCACAACCGGTACATGACAGCCATCGCAGGGACAAGCACTGGTAATCTACCTAGTTTTCCTAGGAGAGAGCAGCAAGGGGATCTCAGATCTGCACAGCATGCACAGCAGAATAAAGAGGCACAAGTCAGAAGCATTTGCTGGACACCACTGCTTCTAAATGGCAAGGAGATCAGCAGAGCCCAGGGGACTCATAAGCTCAGCCCACTGAAGGAGAGCCCTGCAGCACCTAACCTCATCAGGACAGTAATTACACACAAGGGGAATTTATGAGAGAAGCCCAGCAAAAAAAGAAGCTGGCAGCAGCAGGAACATGCCAATCTAACTGACAGGGCTGTCAGACAAAGGCTGCTGGGAGATGAAGAGCAAAGGACTGGAGCGCAGAGAATGAAACACATCCAAAAACACTCAGATGGAGAAGTCTCCTTGACACACACTGTGGGAAGAGCAGAGCCACTTCAATCCTGTGCCACAGGGGCTCAGAATTTGTGTTCTCCTTCCATGACTGTCCTGGACATCCTTTCACACTTGCAACTAACACCATATAGGGCAACCTCTCCCTATTTCCTAGTACAGTCAGACATCAACCTTCCCTGAGACCTGCCAGAAACTGACCTCTCAGTGCCTCTTAGCCTTCCCTCCTCTCCCTATTTAGTCATCTCCTCCTGTTTGCTCCTTTACCCTAACTCAGGAAGCAACCTTACACTTGGAGTGCAAAGCAAGAGCTCACCCTGCAAAGAGCCACCTCTACAGGCCTGGATCCCTCACCCCCCAGCAGGCCTCCACACAGCTCTGCTAAGAGGCAAAACATCCTTACTGGGCTGCAGCAGTGTCAATTCTGGTGCTTGCTCTTGAAAAGGACCAACAGCACAGAGACAGACAAGAGACAAAACAAGAGAATTCGAAGTCTGGATATTCCATCTTGAAGAGAGAGCTGAGGTGGATCACAGCACCATCAAGGCAGCACTTCAGGAGGCAGAATATTCATGTAGCCTACCCAGAGTTTTTCCAGCAGTAATAAAAAATAAAGAGATATACAGATTGACTCATAGAGACCGTATACAGTAAACAAATCACAAAAATAGACCATTGCAATATGTAGTTTGGGAACTCCTGTGCCATTTATGTTATTATTTATTAATCGTATTCCCACAGCAATGTACCTCTGCAGCCTAAAGCTCCTCACTTTCCAAGTGTTAATTAGGGTTCACAATAAGTACTGAAAAACAAGAGAAGCATTTTCATCTCTCCTAGAAATGAAAGCTCTACAAGTGAAACCCAAAGGGACTCACACAAGGTCACAGGTGAATCGATGGCACTGCCAGAAACAGAGCACAGAACCCTGGCTTCCAGGTTCCTCCCATAGAGAGACAAAGGTTGGCAGCAAATCCCCAAAGGTGTGGGAATGAGCAAGAACGTCAGTGTGCAGCCTGGCTGTACTCACAGGTGTGTTAATTAGATCGTGTTCTAATTAAAATACAGCCTTTGCATCTTGTCTTTCTTTCTTGATGATGTAGCCAATTGGTAGAGTTTGTCCACAAGTAAGTTCAAACTGTAATACAGGAGACTGCTTCTAAGCATGAAGAGAGGAGAACTGCTCTACAAAGGGGCAGGAAACCCAGAGGTTTTAGTGTGGCACATAATATGCTCAGGGGAAACATCAGATTAAATAACAACTTGACCTCCATACACAAAACTTAAAAAGAAAGCTCTTGGGAAAGGGTTTCCAGCTACCGAAGGAAGGGATCAACCCAGGCTTCTCTTGACCCCCAAGTTCACATGAAGGGGAAATACCAGTGTCTCACAACACAGGTCTGGTGGTCAGAGATGAGGTGCCAGAACTGATGCAAGCCCACATGTGCAGGGAGGTTGAGCCACAGAGCCAGAGTATGCAGGAGGTGCCCAATGCAGAACAGCACATGCACGGCCCAGGTCATTCCCTGCCCAGTCAGACCCCCTCTGGGTGCAGGCAATGCTGAAATGCCCAAGTGTTTGGCAGAGGAGAAGGGAAAAAATATCCGTATGCTTGAAGGTAAGAAACATTACTCTCAGTTAACAACTCACAGATGTATTTCTCCCTGTCTTGTCTGCCAAGCATGTCAAACCAATGTCATGTTTCCTGCTAAACAGTGATGCCCATACAAGCAAACTTGAGTGAGCAGTGGCCCGTGAGGTGGCATACTGCTTTGAAGATGGAGTTTCCCAAAGCATTTCAGTGGTAAGGAACAAACAGAGAGAAATAGGATTTATATATACGTTCACCAGAACCAAGTTTCAAAACCATGTGGAAATCCCAGCTTCCCTGGTTTGGGCAGGAAACAGCCCTGGAGGGACTGAAGGCTCTGAGGCAATTCGCTCTCAAACGCAGCGCGGTCTGCAGCCACAGCACCCCATGCAGCCATGCTGCTTGGTGTGACAGAAAGACCACAGAGTGAGAGGGAAAGGAGCCAGCAAGGCATGTGTGAGCCCTGCAGCTGCACTCTCTGCTTCTTACAGCTCACAAGCTGACAGCAGGGAGCCTGTGTGTGCACCCATGGAGAGGCAGCAGTAACCACGCAGCCCCTTCTCCTGCCTGGAGGACACTATTAGATAATTTTGGGGCATGTGTTAACCAAGGAACACCGTGGAGTTGTAGCCTTTACTACAAGGACTTTACCTTCCAGTGTGCCAGCAGTGAGCATCCAGCAGCTTACCTGAAGCTGAGCCAAAGCTAGAGAGAATTGGGGACTTCATCCTGAAAGTGCAAGTGCCTGACGCCTGCCTGCTCGCGGAAGAAACACTGCAGAGGGATCAGAAGCACTGAAGGCTTGTAAGTAGGGCAGTGCTATACAGGCATACCAGTAACTGATGTGAAACAGCACAAAGAAACTGACTTGCAGCCCCACCCTGCCTGTGGGACAAGGAACACCAGCAGCACCACACGGTGTCTTTACAACACACAGCCTATGTCCCTACAGAACTGCCTGCCTCTATTCCATTGCTGTATCATCTTCCTCACTCATTTAGTTATGATCTCAACAAGGTGCTGACCATCCTTTCTTCCCAGACGTCACCTCCCCACCACCTGGCTCAGATATTTCCAGGCATTGAGAAGTTAGGATACAGACAAAAAAATAGTGGAATTGCTCAATGGGTTACCAAAAACATAGGATGCAGTGCTTTTTGTTACTGTGCAGCATTTCAAGAGGCTTTCTGGTTACTCCTCTCTCCCTGACACCTCCTTACACACCAGGCTCTCTCTGCCCCTCCTGCGCTAAAGGTCCAGCTGCAGCTGCAGGGAAACACAAGCCATCCCTCCTGCACAGCTGCCTCTGCATCTCAGCCTTATTTGTATGAGACACTGCCACCCAGCATGATTTGCATACGTACCAAAACGTGAGATGTGCACAAAATGAAGCAGGAAAACCTTTGTTTCTGCTGCCAGAAAAGGTTAATGGCATGGCTACTTTGCAAATGTTTACTATAAAGTGTTTCCTAAGCCTCAGAGCTATAGAATTTGTACATAAAAGGAGGTTCACCCCCTTCCCCTTGTCCCACAATCCTATTTGCTTCAGATTAACACAAGTGACCTCCACTCCACTTGTGCTCCATTCATCTCCCACAGAGCAGGGCCTGGCTGTACTGAATTATTTCCCTGCCATCATGAAATGCTGCTCAGCAGCATTGGAGGGAGCAGGGCTGCAGACAGGTGCTATGGCTTTCTGTTAACCATTCAGCTTCCAGACAAGATTCCCATTTAAACCTAGCTCAGCTTAGGAGCGCTGCAAAAATCCACAGCATAAGTACACGACACCAGAACTGATGTACTGGCACACTGGGCACAAACATGTGCTAGGGAAAGCAGGTGAGCTCCATGCTTGTGGCTACATGCAGTCACACACAGAAAAGGACAAAGCAGCCCTGCCACAAAGCAGCCCTGCCACAAAGCAGCCCTGCCACAAAGCAGCCCCACTCCCGCTGTCCCCATCCATGTCAGCCACCACGCACCCCACGGTCACTGCGGTCACTGTCCTCAGACTGCATCAGAGGCTCTGGGACGGGCACTCTTTGAAACAGGTTAATCCAAGCTGACACATAAAGTGTCACCTCCAAATCCAGCCAGGCTGAAGAAAGCCCTTCAGGACCTTCCTGTCTCTTCTCTCTCTCTTCCCTCTCATCCCTCAGCCCAGTGCTGGGGTATCTGCAGACTGCAGGGCAGGGGGATGTGCTCTCAGCTCCCTGCTGCTACCCAGGTCACAGTCCCTCCACAGTCACATCTCCTGTGCCAGACATTAACCCAAGTTATGCTGGCACACAAACACAGATCTGTGCTGAAAGAAGGGCCACTGGGCAATTCAGAGAATGAGCATGAAATCCATCTCACTCCTTTGTTCCCCAGGCAGGCTGCAAGACTGACTGAACCCTTTAACTTGGGAAACAACCACTAGGTTGATCCCCCTGGTCAACAGCCACACTGTGCCGTCCATCTCTCCCTTATGCTGACTGAAGTTCTGAGCTCTGGCTCCAGCTGCAGCAAGTGCCTACTGGCTGCCTGCAGCCCCTGACCTCCAAAAGGGGACAGCACCCTACCTGCTAATTCTGCAGACCAGGGCCGGGTTCTCCCAGACCACACCGCAGTACACAGTGGAGGAACTGGACATCTCTGGACTCCTGTGGCCTTTTTCAATAGAATTTGCAGGAATCAAAGCACAAGAGAGAAGCCTCCACCTCCAGCTCTCGCTTCTCCAAGGAAGTGTGCTTATTTCTTCCCCAACAAATGCTCTCCATCAGCATTTACAGCGCACTGCCAAAAGATATGGAATGAAGAAAGCAAGCAAACACATCAAAGAGAGCAGTGTCTACTTCTTAAAATCCTCGTTAACATTTCACAACATACAGTGCAGAGGAAGAAATGCATAAAGTCAGCCGGCTTCAAATACGCAAAACTATTTTTTGGGATTTGCTTTCTAAGCTGACAGAGTACTGGCACAGCATATAATGGAATGCCCAAACGCATTCAGTACCTTAACGAAGGATTCAGTGCTCCAGGTTTGACACGACAGGATTCCATGCTGCTTTCAGTGAAAGAGACAAACCTCCCCCCATACATCTCCACTGCCACCACCACTCAATATAATTTCCCAAACACTTTCAAAATAAATAGAACTCTTTTGTCAGAGTGAAATAAATACAGCAGGATTAGGTTTGCACTGTTTACTGGTTCCTTGTCTTTCCTTTCATTTTGCCTCTGCCTGAGGCAGTTTTGGAAGGCTCTGCCACCTCCTCCATTCTGCTCTAAGTGTGTAAGTAAGAGACCAACGGTTTCTGTCCCACAGTTGCATTCTACACTCACACAGTACATTCCTCTCAGCAGCACTGTCCATCTGAAACTCTCAAGTGCAGGGAAGCAATCTGTAGGGTTTGATGACGTTCTGCATTTTGGTTATTTTTAAGGCCATCTTCACTGCTAGATCAGCTGGCACTAGCTGAGTCTGTCTACCAAAGCAGCTATCAGCCCTGTCCAGGCTCGTAGGTTAGGGTAGCCAAGCAGGGGCTGTGCAAAGAGGTAAGCCAAGAATTTGTGAAGTATTCTCTCTTAAATGAGGTGGCCTGGGTATCTCAGCACTTCTCTGGTGCCAGGCATGTGAGTGCTCCCCCTGAAGTCACAGAGGGCTGTGGGCTCCAACGTCAGACAGAGGCACTCCGCAGCTCACTGCCACCTCCTCCAGCCCTGTGCACGGATCTAAGAGCTGCTGTGTCACGGAGTAAGTATTCAACTGAAATGACATCAGTTGAGATTGGCTCATCCTTAGCTTTTATGCTTTTCAGTTTTACCCAGAAAAGTCAATGGACACACACTGCCTCTTCTGATGCCAGGAGAAATTTTGTGACTGATTTCAAGTTCCAACACAGAGTCCTGTGTCACTAAGTGAGGCTGTCCCAGATTTCCCCACAGCTGCTGAGACAAAAGCACACCTGTGCACAGTGCTCCTTGCAGAGGTGATAACCGCAGGAAAAGAAGAAAATAATGACTTCCTGCACAGGACCCAGTGTTCCTAACAAATTCTAAAAGAAGCAGCAGTGTTCATTGACAGCGACAGCCTCACTGTTCATAGGCAGCTTTCTCCTAATCGCAATTACGTATCGCTTCAGCTTTTATTTTTGTAAAGACTTTCTATATTTCTCCTATCATCTTTCCCATCCAGGACTGCTGCCGGGCAGGTTGTGCGCTGGCAGCCAGGCACAGCACAGCAGGAAGCAGTCCTGCAGCCTGGGAAGGCTCCCACTGCCAGCCAGAACCGCTGCTCCCAGCTGCCCACAGACATCCTCTGCAGGGACTGCAAGCGAGCACCAAGTCCTAGAAACAGGCTGGTACCTGGTGATACTGCCAGCACAACCACTCCTCTGCTGCTGCGGAGAACGAGGGGCTCACTGAGTCACAGATCCTCAGTCAACCTGCCCAGGTATACGAGCACCAGGAGAACATTCAGCTCTGTTTCTTCAGCCCTCCTGCAGCCCTGTTTATGATTGATTCAGAACTGGAAATGCCTTGATTGGTCTCAGTATGTAGGAGGTCATTGTTAGAGCACCATTATGCGCAGCACAGAGCTTAAAAACTTGTGAGACTGTAATTATAATCAAGGCCACATCTGCTATTACCTAGCATTGGGAAGAGCGTAGTAGGGGGTAGTTTAGTTTAATTCCTAATCTAATTAAAATTCTACTTTGTTCCAGCAGCCAAAGCTATCTACTGTCTTAGAAGTATACCAGTGCCCACCTGTAATTGTGAACTGAGTACCTGCTACACAGCAGAAACTCCTGCCCCTCGGATGTCCTCATGGAAAAAACATCAATTACATCTCTCACACAGAGCTTGTCAATTCTGACTCCTTACAGCCCAGTGCTGTTGTAAAATAAAAAATGACGCAGGTGGAAAGCTTTGCAGGGCAAAGGCACAGCTGTATTTCATACCTGACAGAACTCATTCTGTGCAGTGCAGACCTGAAAGCAAATTTTGGGGGTGGGATGAGGAGAAGACGCTCAAATCCCTTCACACTTGCCTAGCTCAGTTACAAAGTAATTAGCTTCATAGTGAGAGTACAAGGCAATGCACCACATCCTGAATTATTCAGGAAGTCAGACTGAAGGACTACTGCAAAGCCTTCTTGCTTTAAGTTCTGTCTCCCTCTTCCCCACACTGATCTCCTGTGACTCCACTACACATAGCAGCGAGCCATAAAAGAACCAGCCATTGCAGAGAGCAGCACACAGCCAGAGCTGTCACCTCACCTGGTGACTCCTCACATCCATCCCTCTCTTCTTTCTGCTGACTTGCGAATGAGAAAGGGGAACCGAAGGTGACCAGTCTTATCTCCAGACCCCAAAGCACAGAACATCCCCAGGTTCTAAGAGAGGAGATCCCCGGAAGGCTACGCTGGTAGCATTCTTCTGCCTGGAAACACTTTGTTGAGCTGGGAAAACTTTCAAGGTGCTCAGGATGACAGCGATGGGATGAAATCAGAAAGTCTGACTGGGGTTTACAAATCCCCATTTAACACATGCACACCACGATTTATGGACATGGTACATTAATGGCCGGGCTCAGCATCACTAAATCAGTCCCTCCCATTACAAGTATGAAGTAAAGTTGGATAAATCAGAGCATTTCATTTAGGGTGATTTTCATGGTAAATAAATCAATTGGGTGATTTGTTAATGTGCTGTAGGATCTTCTCATCTCCTCCTGGTTTGGCATCAATCAAAACTTTCTGAAATGCCATCACTAAATCCCAGACACGGAGGGCAGGCTCAGGGCTCAGGGGCAGAACTGAGCAGGCTGGGTCGGGCTGGGCAGTGAGCCCACGTTGGGTTGGGTCCTTGCTTTGCCACGGACTCCTAATGCAGTGTGGAAGCCAAACTCGGCACACATCTGCTCTCCTGTCCTGTTCACAGTTCCTCAGTCCTTTGGCCCCCTGCAGGAAAGGGACACCAGAGCATGTGCCCCTGAGGAAAAGTCTTCAGAGAAGCATAGCATGTAGAGCACCAAAAAAGCTACAGTGGCAAGGCTGCCCGTGGCCCTGGGACTGCGAGCAGAGGGGCTGCAGGGAGCCAGCATACAGGTACATGCCACAGCCACTTCTCCAGCACTCCCCCAGGCCATGGTCACAGCTTTGGAACAGGACTCAGCCACAGGGAGGCCTCAGGGACAGCCTGCCACCTCCAACTCATCCTGCACGGATGAGTTCTGGTCCCAGCTGCATCCTGGTCCATCCACCAACTCCTCACATCACGCACAGTGCCAGTGTCCTCAGCTGTGAAGGGAAAATGAGGAAAGTGGCCTCATTTACAAAGCACTTTGGATGTGCTGGTTAGCTGCACACCAGAGGAGTGATTTGTTCTTCAGGCTTCCTCCCCAGCAGCAGCAGCAAGCAGGCAGGCTTTTCTGCTAAACAGATGTTATTTAACATTAAACACCTAATGTTAAGGTGTATCTAAGCAAAATAAACCAGTGAACAAAAGCCTCAGCCTTTGCAGTTTGGAGCCCCTACAATTCCCTAATTCCCCTAATGATTTGCCAACCTAGCTGGATTTTGCCACTTCCCGGTCCAGAGATGTTTGCTAAGGGTAGAGCAGAACCAGAAGGTGGAGTTTTCAAACACAACTGGATGGGATAGCTTGGGATGGTAAGAATACTGCAGAACCGTCAGCACATAACAAGCACCACGCCTGTGAACCCGGCCCCAGTGCTTGTGCATGCAGGCAGCTTCAAACCACACCAGGTGCAGGCAGAAGGTCCATCACCTTCCTCATGCAGCCTCTCCCATTCTGGTGACTGGAGATCTACCCTAAAAATATTTACACACACACTTCACGCAGCAGACCAGACACGGTGGAGGAAGGCTGTGGGTATGCATAATACAGCTTGCTTCCTATAGAACTGTTATGAAGTAGGAGGTGAGATTATTCAGATATTAGACCTCAGTCACCAGGGAACTGTCTGTGATTTCTCTATTTATACTTGCAGGGCTGTCACACAAAATACTGTGAGAGATTTTGATCTTGGAAACTGATGCAAGATTAAAAAAAAACCACAATAAATCCAAACATCTGTGGCATTTCCACCTCATCCCCAGGCTGGGAAAAGCAAAGAGAGGCTCCCTGATTTTTGCTCTCCTTTTTCTTAAAACAAAAAGACGGAGTAAAGCAGCAGGAGGCCATCACATGAATGGCAATGATAAAATTGATCAGGCTATCAAACAGCTGTCTTCAAGAAGCAGAAAACAGATGAATGAGCATTAGTTATTGAGTGGCCGAGCAGCCTGGCAACAGCTCTCCACCACCTCCAAGCAGTGTAGGACCTCGCACAGCACCAGTCAGCACGGCCCTGGGGCTTTGGTGCAGACCTTTGGTGTGGGAGATGAGACAAGTCTTAGATCCACTGCCAGCTGCCGCCTGAGCGTAAATATCCCACCCAAAATTGCATTTCTCTACTAAGAAAAATGCAGAAATCCAAACTGAAGGATGCACAGCTACATTCCAGCAGTTTTTTGCTAGTTGCTGTTTTAGGGAAGGCTTTCCCTCCCTCGCCAAATGGAAGTGCTGCAGGGCAGGCAGCAGGGAGCAGGGCAGGGACAGTGGGCAGCTGGCATCGGATGGGAGGGACAAAATGAAGGGCACCAGGGAGATCTTCAGAGAGGAGGAAATGCAGACTGGATCTTGCAATAACGAGAAGAGAGCTGAAATGAGACCTGACAACTTGCTTGGGGAAAGGTGATGTGTGGAGCTGACAGAAGATGGAGAGAACCTGCATGGAAGAGGTTTATTTATACACAGGTTTGAAAGAAAATAAACAGCAGCATCCTCTCCATGTGCTCTGTATGCATTTGGCAAAAACATCAAACTGAACAAAAATCTGCAGACAGCCCAAACACAGACCATAATGTAGTCAAATTCAGCATCAATGGTTCAGGTAACTCCAAAGGGCCACGTTCACCGAGACGGAGCACCATGAGCAAAGAAAACTAAAGCAATTTGCTCTGAGGTCAGTGAGACTGGAACGTGTGAAGAAAACGAGTTCTGTTCCCTCATTTTAATCCCTTACATTTTCCTAAGGAAATAAATAATCACAGCCCAAAGAGTCACTACTGTAACGGGGACGAACACCCTCCCCTGTTCCCTTTACCCTTCCCCAGCCTCTTCACCAGCGGTGAGTTTTCCTCAAATGAGTAAAAACGGGGGTAAAAATATCCCTAAAAAAACATCAAAAAGATAATCCCAGCTCCTGCGACTGTTTGCACTGCTGGCATCCCCTGGCAATCTGTCACAACGAATCACTCTCCAAGGGGAGCTGCTGAGGGATGCTGATGGACTGCAGCACTCCCAGGTCCCGTTTGGGAACAACTGGAAAGCATTTCACTGTGGATACAGAATGTGCCCCAGGAAAACCTTTAGCCCAAACCATCAGCGGAGGTCCCGGTGGCTTTTACACACTCAGGAGCCACTTTCCTTCTCCCACTCCCCTGCTTCAAGCTTCACAGTTCCACAGACATCACTAAACCCAACCACACAAGTCATTTATTAAAGAGCCAAATTCTCTCCATTCCTTCCCTGCTTTTCCCATAGCTGCTGAACACCGTTCAGATGCCCTCCTGCTAGTGTCAGCAATGTATGACCACATTCCATTTCATTCAATTATGAGTGAAAGCTGGAAAAAGCCAATATGACAAACTCCACCAAACAATCCTTCACCTACCCGTCACCATTCCTCCCATAAGGTCCTTTTCCCTTTTGCTTCAGGACTGCTGCCTGCCTCCCAGTTCAAGTTGTTCCTCTTCAGGAAGAGAAACTGAAATTTTCCTTTTTAGTCATTCAGATGCCAGATCTTTGGATGTACATAGAAATAAATTTTTGAGATATGATATCTCTTAAATAATTGAACATTTGCTTGTTATAGTGTTAAATTAGAAAAAGTAACTGCTTAATTTTCAGCATCAGGAAAGACACTGGCCTTGTCGAATGCATTTAAAAGAGAGATGTGCAAAAAATCACTGTGCACTACGCAAAATATAAATAACAAAACTAAAATAAAGCTATATAATTATATTGCCTTTTAATGGGATTTTATAATTATATTGCATTTTAATGAGACTTGGACAATTACCTCCCTTCAGCTCCTCGCAAATCCCCGCCCTAGGCAATAACCTCGTGCCAATGCCCAGCCCCAGCCTGTATGGAAAACCAACAGCAGCGTGACTCACACGTGCACTGCAGGATGCCCACCTGCAGGACAGCAGCACCTGCAGAGGCAGAGCACTCTGCTCAGCATTAGCCAACAGGGATTCTTCCACAGATGTAAGACTAGGAGCCCAAGCTAAGGAACCCCAACCCATCTTTTCCCTTCTGCTACACAGTATAGCAAGGCTGACTGTGAGGAAAAGCATCATTTCATGAGGCACCGCCACGCCATCCCAACCCAACCCGGAGCAGGATGCTGCTTTGGGAACCACCCTCCAACACTAACCTATGCTGAACAGTTTCTTTTTCCAGAGCTGGTGAAGCAGGACAAGCCCACAGAATTATGGGCCAGGAAACCTAAACCCTCCCAGAGAACCACATTTCCAAATAAAACCTATCCTTTTAGTGCAGTGCTATTTATAAGGGCTGCAGTTCATACTGCTCTTTCCCTTTTTAGTTCAGCCTTTCTCTAATATTCATTATCTCACTCCTGACTTCTCGCTGTCTGCATATCCGTTGTCACCTCTCATTCGGGAGTGACTCATTCTTAAAAGGATTTAGTCAGCTGTGAACAGCCAAACTAAGTACTGTGCATGGCATACCCAGGGAAAGAGAAACTCCAGAAATGTCTGGACTGATCTATTTAGATAAGCCACACTGCAGACAGTGCATACAAGCAGTCCAAATAACCCACCTTGACTCTGGGAACTGCACTCCCAGAATTCAAGGTCCCACCTCTGCAGCTGGCAGAGCAGAGGTGTGAGACTCACTGCAGCCACACTGTGCCCTCAGAGCAGCAGCCACCTACGTGCCTCTCCCCTAAGCCTAAGGCAAAAAGTAGGGCACATTTTACCACCTGCCCAGCAGTACTGTCCAAGAGCAGAAATCCTATCCCTCTGGATGCTACAAAACCCTGCCCTGAGGACCACACCATCTTTTGCCCCAGCTGGGACTCATTCCAGGCA